TGGAATGCAGAAGGAAACGTATTAAGTTAATTGTACAATTCCTAAATTTATAGAATTTAGCTATCATAATAAATGAAATGATGAATATGTTGCATCCTTTCTGGTAAATGTTAAGTCTTTGTAGATTACAAATTCTCAGGCTGTCTCATCATATAGATGTTTAAGGTCAGGAAACTTTTGTGATAATAAAGCTGCTGTTTTGTATATGTGAAGAGAGTTATCTAAAAAAAGATTTTTAATCATTGGACAGAAATGAGCTTTTAAAAATAGATTCCATATAAACTTTTTGTTACCAAAGTTATCTTCAAATGGCATACTGAGCAATCCTGTTTCAAACAAAGCACTTTCATTAAGAGTTGAAAAGTTTGGATAAATACCAAGTAATACTTTATGAACATTTTAAATTTCTTTTTTTATGTTTGGTTTGCTTTTGATAAAATACATATAGTACTTAAGTGTAATTTTAAAATGTGTTGGTGACACATGGTGGCATTGGCCCCATCTTACATTATGGAGAATAACGTACAGTTTTAGCATTGAAGTCTAAAAGTTTTTCTCCTCAAATATGTAAGTATGAAATACTTATTTAAAGCTTAAAAGTTTTCTTATTAATTTTCATGAGTTCTTTGTATGTTAGGAATAGTAATCCTATTATTATTATATCCTGTCCTATTATTGGGAGATATTTAAATGATTGATTTCTCCCAACATAGTGAATTTCTCCACTCATAAGAGAATGCATTTGTTCTGAAACCATTCTTGGGCACTGTGAAAGACCTTTCTCTACCAGAAGCAAAGTTCTATTTTGGACTGTCTAGTGTCATTATGTCTTTAGGTGTGTGTGTGTGGGTGTGTGTATGTTATGTCTGTGTTTCATTCGAGAGTAGTATCCATGGGATTTCTGAATGTCTCCATTTAAGATTGAAGTGTATTGCTGCTGTATGGTTTTTAGAAAATGCTTTTTTTGGGGGGGAGTAGAAAAACTGGGTTTATTTATTCATTTTAATGGAGGTACTGGGGATTGAACCCAGGACCTCGTGCATGCAAAACATGTGCACTACCACTGAGCCATATACCCTTCTCCCCCAGAAGATGCTTCTTGTTTTCAGATGTGTACCGTTTTTTGTAAATTGATTAAGGAATACCTTGGCATAGAGCTTCCTATGATGAACAGGTTAAAAGTGTACCCATTAGCCCTGCGGCAGCTTGTAGGACCATTGGCCTTCCTGGGCTTGTCTGCTTATCTAGGCGTACCTTACAAATATGCTCCATCATTTTCTATGAGTGACATGCTAAGACACTGTCTTAGCATGCTTCTCAGCCTGTAAGTAGTCTTGATATGGACATGGAAAAATAAAAATTATGAATGATAATTTAAAACTTGAGAATTAAAGTGGATTTACTTTTATTTTGTCAGTTTTTATTAAACTGACAGTTATTGTAGTATGCTTTCTACTAAGCACCAGCACTGTTATTTTCTAAGTGCCTATAAGACTTAGAATTCATCTTAAAATAACTATGTTCTTGGACTTAGGCTACAGTTAAGCCTTGTACGTAGGTTCTTTAGCCAATAGATTATAACACAGTCTTCCCCCACAATTAAATATAGAATGCAATTTATTGCAGTTTATCTTTTGCTGAGTAGTAGATATCTTTTTAAAGGTTCACTACCAAATGCAGATTTCATTCACAGTTACTAGTTCTTGACAGGTCTTTTCTATTAAAAAAAATATTTTTTTGCAGCATTATTCTGGTTCCTAACAATTCATTTAACAAATATTTGAGTGCATTTATGTTCCAGGTACTTAGTCCTGAATTAAGGACTAAGAATACAGCAATGAACAAGATAGGCAGGGTCTGGCCCTCATGGAGCAGAAAGAGGGTGGGAGGTACTGACCGAAACCTGTAAACAGTTAACATAGTGGTAAGTGGCATGAGGAAAATAAGACAGAGTCATTTTTTGTTTTGTTTTTTTGAGGGGGGAGGGGAAGGGGAGGTAACTAGGTAGGTTTGTTTATTTGTTTGTTTATAAATGGAGGTACTGGGGATTGAACCCAGGACCTTGTGCATGCTGAGCACGCACTCCACCACTGAGCTGTACTTTCCCCACCTAAGCAGGGTCATTTGATGGGAGTAGGGAAGTGAGGTCTTCTGACTAGAGTGGAGAGAGAAAGTTTCTCCAAAGAGATCTTTTATGTGAAGACCTTAATGATGTGAAAATGCCAGCTTGCTTGTCTCTGTAGGTTTCGGCCTTCCAGGGGAAGGGAACAAGAAGTGCTGAGGTGTGAAGCTTGGCATGTTCAGAAAGAAGGAGTTTAGCTTTTTTTTATTCTGAGTCTTAAATGGGAGAGAAAGATGAGTTGTATTTTTAAGGTTGCTCTGGCTGCTCTATATCTGTAGACCATGGGAGCCACATCATTTCAGGCTAGTGAGATGCTCAGATGAGTCTTCCTCTTTAGTTGGGAAAAAAGATCTAGGGAAAAGAGAAGCTGTAGATGCCCCTAAAAAGTGACCTCTATCAAAGGATAGAGTTAGGAGTTTGTTGGGGCTCCGGTATCTGTGCTAAAAGTGGGAGGCAGTGTGTCGTGGCCCTGCCACTTGTGAAGGGCTGTGGGATCTTGTCCTGACCCTCCCCTTACAGAAATAAAATAGGCTTATAGAAGTTTATAGTGTAACAGTAAAATGTAAAACACAAAAAGTAAGTAGATGATATATAAAAAGTAAAAATTCCTCACAACCCTGCTGAAATAATCACTATTATACTTGGTTTATTATTCCAGATTTTCTTCTTTATAATTCTAGGTTTTCCTCATTTTAGATTAGTATAGAAGAGGTTCAAGCTGTATTTTTCATTTTTTTGTTTTGTCTCAGGTAGCTTTTCCCATCTTTGCACATACAGGTCTACTTCATTTATCACATGAGTATTAACATGATTTAATTCTCTTGTTAAGTATTTGGTCTGATCCCCAGTTTTGTTAAGGTATGAATAAGGCTGTAATGAAGATGCTTGTATGTGTATCTTTATACACTTGTCTTATTCATCTGTAGGATAAATTCCTAGAGTGATACTGAATTCCTAGATCAGTCTTACATTTCAAATTTTTAATAGTTTTTTTTACCATATTCTCCTCCAAAAATGTTGTGCCAAGGCTATGTGAAAGTAATGCCACATAGTGATCTTAAGTCTCTAAACTTCTCTAGTTTCCTCAGCCGTCAGCTAAGAGTAGTTACTATCTGTCATCCCCTCTTCATTCAGGTGTGCGATGTGAGAAAGAGCTTAAGCACATTGCAAATGTTCAGGCAGAAACTTCTGGTTAAGAACAAGACATTTGGATTAAATGATCTTTAACTCTAGGCCATTTTAGCTTGACTGAATGATTTCAAATGTCAGTGTTCTGTTTGGGAACCTAAGGGCTGTGGAGTCAGAGCTGCCCAGTTCTGAATCCCACCTCTGCCAGCGAAAGGTCAGCTGTAAAATGGGGGTGTAATTCCTACGGAGAGTATCCTCTCAGGGTCAGGTTGGATACTGTGAGAGGGACGTATGCAGTGTATGCTGCCTCATAATAGCAGGCACCTAGTGAATGGTAACTACTGCTAGTAATAAAAAAGTTTCTGAAGGAGGAGAGCTTGAGGACGATGGGACTCCCTGTCAACCTCGCTGTTTTCTAAAGGAGGAAGTGCCTCTCGCTTCTGCGTGGCTGCTGACTTCCAGTCACTGCAGGGCTTTGCACGTCCTCACCGCAGGACTCCTAGCTTGCTGCTGTTGTGTGACTGTCTGTGGACTTGTTGCCCAATTAAAACATTTGGTTATTTTTGATTAGGTAACTGTTTCTGCTTGCTTCTGTTCATGAGCTTTGTTTCTGCACCAAAACCAAACTCTGAATGTTATGGTGGAAAAGTTCATGTACTTTAAATGTAAACAGATACAGAGTCTGCTTATTTTACCTATCACCTGGGTGTTCTTGGGCAAGTAGCATGGTTTTTCTGTGCTTTATTTGTTTAAAAAATAGAAGGTGGATGGAGGAAGGGATTTAAAATCATTTGGGATCCTTAACACAAATTAAATGAGATCATTGATAGGTAAAGTATCTAACACACATCCTAGAAATACTAATTTCTTTTCTTTTCTCAAAGGCAGAAAATTATGGCTTACACTTTTTTTCTCATACTACTAACTTGTAACTCATACTCAAAGGTGGTTGCTCTTGCTTAATATACAATAACCAAAGAGGAAGACAAATTAAAAAAGGAATTGAAAAAGGACTAAACTAGAAGTCAGAAGTCTTGGGCTCATGTTCCAGGTTGGCTTTTAACTGGAGGTATAACTTCTGATGAATTTTTTTCCTGGATATATATATATTTTTTATTGAAGTATAGTCAGTTTACAGTGTTATGTCAGTTTCTGGTGTACAGCACAACGCTCCAGTCATACATGAACATGCATATATTTGTTTTCAGATTCTTTTTCACCACAAGTTACTACAAGATACTGAATATAGTTTCCTGTGCTACAGTGTGAACTTGTTTGTGTTTTATATATAGTAGTTAGTGTCTGCAAATCTCGAACACTCAATTTATCCCTACCCCCCACCCTGTAACCATAAATTTGTTTTCTATGTCTGTGAGTCTGTTTCTTTTTTGTAAATAAGTTTGTTTCTTTTTTTTTAGATTCCACATATAAGTCATATCGTATGGTTTTTTTTCTCTTTCTGGCTGGCTTCACTTAGAATGATGATCTCCAGGTCCATCCATGTTGCTGCAACCTTTGATGAATTTTTTGATCTCTAGTCCTCATTTTGCTCATTTTCGAGTTGTCTATGAAGTATTTTATGGAAATATACTAAAATCAAAGTTTTCTGAATAATTAAGCAGAAGATTTCACCTACGAGGAAGTCCACATGCTGCTGTTTGCACAGTTACTCTATATAATATGTTGTTGTTCAGTTAATTACTTTTGTTTAAGAATTATAATTCTTTTCTTTTTTTTTTTTAAACCAGGTTGAAGTATTTTGTAAGCTGCATCAATGGAGCACATACAGGGGGCTTGGAAGACGATCAGCAATGGTTTTGGATTCAAAGATGCTGTGTTTGATGGCTCCAGCTGCATCTCCCCTACAATAGTTCAGCAGTTTGGCTATCAGCGTCGGGCATCAGATGATGGCAAACTCACGGATTCTTCTAAGACGAGCAACACTATCCGTGTTTTTTTGCCAAACAAGCAGAGAACAGTGGTACGTGAACATTCCTCTCAAAAAATTTAGCTGTTCGAGGCCTATAGAAAACAGTATGGATCATGTTGCCTGTCTTACAGACAGGCAGAATCTTCACTGTCACTTAGGACCTTTATTGATTAATTTTTAAACATTATTTTATTTTTTATAGTTTTTTTTAATTGATATAGTTGGTTTTTTTAATTGGTATAGTTGATTCACAATATTGTGTTTCTGGTTTATATGTAATGGAATCGCTTCAGCAAAGTGATTCAGTCATATGTATATTTTCAGATTATTTTCCATTATAGGTTATTGTAAGATATTGAGTCTGTTATACAGTAAGTCTTTGTTGCTTATCTATTTTATGTGTAGTAGTTTATGTCTGTTAATCCCTGGTTTGTCCCCCACCCCCTTCCCCTTTGGTAACCATAAGTTTGTTTTGCATGTCTGTGATTCTCTTTTTGTTTTGTATATAGATTCATTTGTTTTCATTTGTATTACTTTTCAGATTCTACATGTAAGTGATATATAATACTTGTTTTTCTGTCTGATATACTTAGTATGATATTCTCTAGGTCAATCTATGCTGCTGCAAATGGCAGTATTTCATTATTTTTGTGGCTGATTGTACATAGGCACATAGAGACCCCATATAGGTACCCCCTCTTCTTGTACATTGTAGGTAGGTATGTATATGTACCCCATCTTCTTAAACCAGTCATTTGTTGATGAGCACTTGGGTTGCTTCCATGTCTTGGCTGTTGTAAATAGTGCTGCTATGAACGCTGGGTTGCATGTATCTTTTTGAATTAGGATTTTCGTCTTTTCTGGATATAGGCCCAGGCGTGGGATTGCTGGATCGTATGGTAGCTCTGTTTTTAGTTTTTTAAGGAACCTCCATACTGTTCTCCATAGTGGCTGCACCACTTCACTTTCCCACTAACAGTGTAAGAGGTTTCCATGTAGGGTCTTTGTTAATTGGCTTTCCGCTTACAGACTTGATTGCTTTGTATTGCTGTGTTCCTTCTACACGCCCCGCTTTTTCCCACCCCTTGGCCTGCCTTCTCTTGTTAGTCTTGCCTGGAATGTCTTCTTTTCTGCCACTTTTCTGCCACAGTGCATTTTTTTTTCGTAGTACATTCTTATGGGGATATATTTCAGAGTTCTTCGAAAAGCTCCTTTAGACATTTCCAGTTAATTAGAAGAAATATTTTGTGCTGATATTAAAGCAAAATGTTCACTTAATTATTTTCAATATCACAATCAAGTATATAGAAGAAAGTAAAATTACCTAGAAAAAGTTATTTTGGTAAATTTCATAGGCCCTGGGGCAAAGCTAGAGGTAGCTTAGAAATCTCAGTGTTTTTTTCTTTTCCAGGGCAGTGGTCTAGCCAGTTATTTGTGCATCGTTTGTGACACAGAATCCCAACTTTTTCCAAGAAATTACTGGTCAGAAAGTTTCCTACTATCCTGGGGGCGCGAGGAAAAACCAACTTGTTGAAAAAGAAAAGTGAAGTTGTACTTATTTTGCTTGGTGGGACATATGAGAAAACTTTAGTTCAGAATGTCCACATCTTCTCCTTTCCCACCCTCTATTCTTTGTGTAAGATCAGTGCATTGTGTTTATTCTGTGCACCTAGGCAAGGCAGGGTTCCAGAGTTGGGAAGTACAGCCCAGAGTTTTGTCAGTTTGTTACTAATAGTTCCACTCTCCCCAGTTTACTAAATTCCTTTATACTTCTTCTGTGAACCTAAAGAGCACCCCCCCCCCCCCCAGTTACAGTGTTGTACATTTAGGGACGTTTTGAACTGAAGACAAAACTCAAAGGCATTTAAAGTTTGAGTAAATTTAGTTTTGTTCCCCTTCTTAAAAGTGAAAGTTTAATGGCTGGCAAAATAAATAATAATCCTCTTATATTTCAACAGTACTCTTTCACTTGCAAGTGATTTTAACCACACTATTTTCTCATTAATTTTGTTTGTGACCCTAAGTGGAGAGGTCAGTTGGAAAGTGTGACTGTGATGGGACACTGAAAACCATCTGCTTCTGCGCCTGTCTTCTCCACCTCCAAATCCCAGTTTGCCAGGAAGACCAGCAGATTTAGTTTGGCATAATAATGAAGTGTATGGGCCTGTAAGCCATCCAGGCCCAAATTTAAATCCCTGTATTGTCTTTTATAAGCTGTATCATCTAAATAAGTTGCATAATATTTTGAGTCTGTTCCTGACATTTATGAAACGAGGCTCATGCTGAATACAGTGGCTAGTTCATGAGTAAAAAGGTAGCTGTTACTATTTCTGAGTTTTTTCTACATTGGTGTATCCTTGACAGCCTTCAGTTGAGCACAACTGGTGGTCAGGGACCAGTGATTTGGAAGCTTGAGTTCTGTTTTTGAGATGGTTCTAGCAGAGAAAGTTAGTTTCTCCTATTTTTTTGACCAGAGATGAACTGTGTGTCTCTGGAAGAACCACCTTCTTTCACCAGGCACCCAGCTTCAGGCGAGCAGGGAAGGGGAGGGGCTCACTTGCTGGCCAGACCAGCAGTCAGCTGTTTCTCATCATCCCCAGGTTGCTTCACTGCTGGAACCCAGAATGACTGTCATAATCACTTAGTGGAAATTAGTCAGATTTAACTAATTACACCATGTATCCGTGGGGAGTTGTAGATAGGAGAGTGAGAGAGAGTATGTATGTCTGATATAAATAATTTTAGAAGTAGTAATTAGAATTGCTTGTTTTTTGAATTTTTCTTGCAGTTGTTTTGTAAACATGTGTCTCTGACTGACTGCTACTGCTTATAATTACTGGATGAGTATATGGATCATGGTTGAGGACCATTAATTACTACTGGGATTACTTGAGAAGAATTTAAAATATGGGTTCCTGAGCTTTATTTAAGATGAACTGAATCAGAATCCTTGGATGTATTAGACGGAGCAGGCTGGGAAAATGTATTTTCACAAGCTTCTTGGATGATTCTAATACCAGACACATTTGGGAACTCTGCTGGGTTGGAGGATATTTAAAGAACTGTCTAGCTCTTGGGGCTTTGACTTTTAATGAAGATTAATGATATAACACATATCACTTTACAGTTTTCCAAGTACTACTGCGCAGTATTTGATGCAGGTCATGACTGTTAGTGTGTGAGTGTCTGTTAGTCTTCACTGTCCTCATTCTTGGTGTCTTCTAGTTCAGATCAGTCTCTCTCCCTTTACTTGTTTTATTTCTGAAAAGCTGGAAGTTAGTGAGATCTTTCTAAGGGTATCACTGCTTCAAGACACCTTTAAGATAAACTTGTTGTGGAACATTTAAAATATTAATTTAAATATTAATTCAATATTAAATATAAATGTGGAAAATTTAAAAATATTTTAAACCTTTAAATTAAATAAAAAACACCACTCACCTCCCTCTGGGAAGAGGCTGGGCTGGCCAGTGTGGGCTCATGCACGTTCCCCCGGCAGGAGGCCTTCAGTTTGCAGGCCCTGCTGAGAGCTGCATTCTGCCCTCTCTGCTGGCCGTACTGAGTCTAGCTGCCTTACTTTCAATTAACTTTATTGGCTTTAAAAACAAAATGTAGAAGGCTTTTATCAAAATGCTTCAAGATCTTAGTTGAAATTTTTATCTAGCTGCCATTATCAGCACCCTGGACACTCAGACACTTCCCACTAGGCGTCTGAGTGCCTGCCCAGCTTTTGACGACTGGGTGCGAGGGGTGTGGAGGAGGGCGTCCTGCTGAGCTGCCTGGAATGGGTGTGTGTGTTCATTAAAGCCCGTGGTCATGTCTGTCCTTACAGTGGGGCAGAGCCTCCACTGCCTGCTTGTCCTCACGAGTATGAAGTGCACGTGAGATGGAATGTTTGTTAGGAAGATCAAATATTTTGTTAAAAATAGGTTGAAATACACATTTTTGATCAGAAAAACTCATGTTTATTTGTACATTGGACTGGCTTATTTTCCTTTCTGGTGGATGTTTATGCTTGGGGGAACATTTCATTGAGTCAAACTAGAGCTGTAGAAAGGGGTAGTTGATCTTTTCTCTCTCCTAACTGCTTTCTTCTGATGCCGACAGCTGAGTCTATCTTTTCACCCTCATGCAACATATATAAGCAAATGTAAGCTTCCCGCCCTTTAAATAATATTACTCTTGGTATTATTCTGAAAACTATTTTCCTCTTAATTAACATACCATACTTGTGCCAGGTCATTGTAAGTAATGTAGTAGCGGCACCGTGTGACACATGCGGGTGTTCTGTACTGGATTCAGGCTCTCACCTATTGCTGGACATTCGGGTTGTTCACTCTGTTACCGTTACAGCTGGCCCTTGAACAACGCAGGGGTTAGGGGTGCCAACCCTCTGCTCAGCTGAAAACCCAAGTATAGCTTACAGTCAGCCTTGCTGTATGTGGTTCCCCCGCATCTGCTGTTCCGTGTCCCGGATTGCACCAACCACGGAGGGTATATTGCTGTAGTATCTGCTTTTGAAAAAAATATGGGTATGAGTGGATCCATGCTGTTCAAACCTCTGTTGTTGGAGGGTCGCAAGCAACGCTGTCTTCAGTCTTCCCCATACCCCCTTACAGACTGGTGCATTTACTTGCAAGGGATGTGTGGCCTGTGCTGGTTCTAAAGGTGGTTCTTTGTTTGTAGGTCAATGTGCGGAATGGAATGAGCCTGCACGATTGCCTTATGAAAGCTCTCAAGGTGCGGGGCCTGCAACCAGAGTGCTGTGCAGTGTTCAGACTTCTCCACGAACATAAGGGGTAAGAACTCAAAAGTCAGCCAGGTCTTCCTTCAAACTAGTAAGGGTTGCCTAGCTTCAAATAATAACTGTGTCCATATTTTAAAAATTGCACTAGCTTCCTATGGAATAGTGAGTATTTGAATACTCTTGTTTGTAAAGAGATATAATTCAGAAAAATTAAATACTAAGAACTTGAAATTTTTGCTTGAACATTGTATTGAAAAATAAAGTACATGTTAGGAGTTGGATAGTGTTTCCTTCTGGAAACGGGAACATCAGATGATATGTTTCTTGAGATCAGTGATTTTTGTGTTTGCTCTAATGCATTGTACAGAGTGCATACTCTGAAAGTGTTTGCATTATTATTTACAGTTAAAGAATGCTGTCTTTAAGAGATTGACTTTTGAAATTCATGCATTCATTTTTATTCAGTTAATGTTAACTGAATCCTAGCAGTTTGAGAGACACCGGGCTAAGAAGAGAATTTCTGCTTCAAGGAAGATCCATAGTTCATCCTGTCACTGATGGTGGTGGCAAGATAGAGGCGCCCCCACCCGGTCCTGGAGTCATATCCCAGAGCATCAGAGCCATCTGTGACTCGCTGCTATCTGTTACTGTCCCCCACGATCTGGGGTGGTAACCTTAACTCTGCCTTCTCCTTGGGAAGTGCTGGTTCTGTTACTGATCGTTAGCTACATCTTCTGTATCTCAGGGGCTCCCCAGTTGTGAGGTGTTACCCTAGGGCATGAGTCCACTCAAAAGGGCGAGTGTGAATTCATCTGCTTGTCAGTCCTCTCAGCTCCGGAGGCGTTTTGCTGAAGTGCGACTCTGCAGCGGTTGCCAGCTTTATCTGGGAATAGTCCCCAGGCACTGGCTTGGGGACCAACCTTACAGACTAGAGAGACTCTGAGACAGTGAGGGGCTTGATCAGCTTTTGTCCAAGGCTGCACTGTTTGGAGCTACCCTGGGTTCTTTCCTGGATGGACAGCACCTGAAGACTGATCAGAACACAGGACTGCCCCCTCCGTCTGCATTAGGTCAAAGCGGGACTTGGGAGTAGTGTGGGGTTTCCCAGACCTTGTGTAAGGAATTGTATCCAGGGATGGATTATTCACTGTTAGATAATCAGCAGGATGGCTGTAATAGGCTTCTGGGAGGTGCAGGGAGAGGTTTGAACCTTGTCCAAGAATGTGCTTCCTTTAGGAGATGGGCCAGATACACTAGACAAAACATGAGAAAGGAACTGGGCATTGATTTTTACTTAAATGTATCCATTTTTCTGTCTTGTTTACTCTAGGCAGAGGAAGAGTGGTCTCAGTAAATTTTAAGATGGTTAAGTCTTTCATCGATTTATGTTTATAGACCTTGCAAACAATTCTACAGATTGAGCCTATCATTAATAGAAAAGTGAATTTTGTTTATGATTCTTTTGTTTGTATATCTTCTAGATTGAAGTGAGCTAGTGAAGACTTAATTTTGCGACTGTAGCAATATTTATAACCTATTTTAGAGGGTTTTACAGGATTTTGATGTTCTAGAGTCCAGTTTATCGCACATTTCCTTTATCGTGAGATTGTTTTATTTCATAGTTTAAAGAAAACTTTATTCTAAGAGCGTAAGCTTTGGAGTCTGACCTACCTGGATCCAAACAGGCCCTTACACTCACTGTGTGCCCTTGAGCAGGTTACCCTCTTAGAGCCCCCAGTTCTTTCATTTTTAAGATGGGGGATAAGAATGCCCACTTCATAGGTTTGTTGTATGAGTTGAGTTAGTGTTGTGTGGGATTAAGTTTTATGTTTGTGGAGCATTATTGGTATTGAACTCTCACCTAAATCGTTCCCTGTTGTATCATGTTTTTTTAAAATCCTCTTTAGTAAAAAAGCACGTTTAGATTGGAATACTGATGCTGCCTCGCTGATTGGAGAGGAACTTCAAGTAGATTTCCTGGATCATGTTCCCCTCACAACACACAACTTTGTAAGTTGGTGATCTCTTCTCTCTTTGTGGTCTGTTGAGTACGTTGGCTGACATAATAGGAATTTCTCAGAGATAATAACCTTAGATGTTGTTGGATTGTTTAAAGCTCTAGTTATGCCATTGTTTTCAGTTTTCACTAAGGCAATTTAGGTTATGAGATCACAGATGTATCTTAGTTTCTATGTATGAATTTTAAAATGATTGGAAGTATGATTCTTCATTCTGATAAACCTCTTTGGGGTCAAGAAGGAAATTATTTTGTCTTCTATCGTCTTTCATTTATTCAGTGTAATTTACACCTGTGTTCTTGTTCAAGGCTCGGAAGACCTTCCTGAAGCTTGCCTTCTGTGATATCTGTCAGAAGTTCCTGCTTAATGGATTTCGATGTCAGACTTGTGGCTACAAATTTCATGAGCACTGTAGCACCAAAGTACCTACTATGTGTGTGGACTGGAGTAACATCAGACAACTCTTGTAAGGCGTCATTCTTTTTTCAAAGAATATAAGGGGGGAGGGAGGTATAAACTCTTATTGAGGGTGTTTGTTGTATATTTCACTGACAGGTCTGGGTTTTAGACTTATTAAGTGAATTATAATGATCCAGAAACGGTTTGCTTTAGAAACATGACAATTCTTAAACTAGCAAGTTTAGTGTGGCATATAATTCTCTAAAATGAGCTGGTGGGACTGTTACTTGTCAGATGGAGATTGATATACTGTGATTCATTAAGGCAAAGAGCAAAGTGATATGAAAACCCAGAAGATTTTTTCCCCCAGTTGCTGGTAGACAGTACCCTGTATTTTCATAAATACAATGAACAGACCTTTGACACTGAGAAGGAGCAGAAAGTGTGGTCGGTGCTGTTTTCTTCAGACGAGGGAAAATATTAGTCTTAAAATGATTTTACAGTAAAACTTAAAAACACATGTATCCCTCTGGAGACAAACTGGCTACTAAATTATATTCTATATAGGTGAACTTTTTAAAGTAAGATTTATTAAAAGTACATATTCCAAAGTGCCTTTTAAAAACTGTTAACAGGGATATGAAAAGTCAAAGCTGAACTTTTATCCCTTTTTGCGGGTACTAGAAAAACTAAGGGAGCGTTATCATTAAACCACGACAGAAACTTCTTTGCTTTCATAGTAGTAACACGTTGCTTTTGCAAAGAGAGCTCGGGTAGCATAAATAGCACAGACTGTGGAGTCCAGCAGATGCTGGTCAACATCTAAATTCTGTCACTAACTCACCGTAGTCACCTCTGAGCCTCAGTTCACTCAGCTGAGAAAAGGGGGCCTTGCCATCATTTCAGTGCTCTTAGCAGGGTTAACTGAGCTGGCACGTGAACTCGCTGAGCGCCAGGTGATCATCTCGTGGAGGGAAGATGCCAGATTAATGTTAATGTCATTTTCCCTCTTGTCTGTCACTTTTGGTGCTGAAGGTGATTTATTCTTCATATTTCCATCTTTCCATCTCTGCGTTTCCAAGACAGAATGTTTCCAGAAAAGCCTTATGTGATGTAGGTTATAAAGCGCTCTACTTTAAAAAGGCTTTAAAGAACCCCATTATTTTGACACAGCTGGACACTGGACCAGTGTTTCCTAGAAGCACACACTGGAACCTCCGTGTTCATTGGCAGGCCAGGACTGGCCACGTTCTGTAGTCATTCAGACCCAGTCACCTGAGTTGGTGGTCCATTTACCCTGGGTAGCCTGAGTATTCTCGGACATAAGAGTAGGAAAAATTCAGTTTGAGCAGCTGTGAGTTTGCAGGGTCAGGCAGGCTGGCTGTAAAATTACTACCACGAGTCTAAAAACCAGGCTTTCTCTGCGTTCATTTAGATTGTTTCCAAATTCTACTCTCGGTGACAGTGGGGTCCCAGCACTGCCCTCCTTGACGATGCGTCGGATGCGAGAGTCTGTTTCCCGGATGCCTGTTAGGTATTTTTTACCTGTTGCTGTTCTTTTGGAAAGCTGCATTGGGGCGGGTGGGACTGAAAGCATAAATACAGAAGGTGTGTTCCCTTGCCTTCCCTCTTCTCTCTCTCTAAACCCTTTGCTGCTTCTGTGGAACTCGCTGTTGCTGTTAGAGCAAAATGTAGAACTTCTCTTTGTGGTCCTGTGTCTTGTTCTTACATTCTGGACCCTTACTGCAGTTTATTCTGTTCTCCTGGCATGTCCCTTATATCTCACTGCATTTTAAAGAGCTTGAGATTTTGCCTTCCTCAGTATGCAGTGAGTGGAGCCTCAGGGAGGGGGTCCCAAAACGATACACAGTGATTTAATAAAAATAAAACCCTCAACTTTGAAATGCTTATTATGGCCTTGCATATGCTAAAACTGTGGTATTTAATAAACTGCTATTTTGAAAAGAAGCGAATTAGATTTTAAATACAAATATCCTTTTTAATGTGCCTGTGAGTTCGCACATAACTTGTCTGTACTGTTTTCCAGCTTTTGAGTTCAGATGTCTCACTCACTGTGACACATGAATTTGGAACCTAAAATAAAATCTACATTTTTGTTCAAAATCTCTGACTTTATATTATATGATCATATAATACTTAATGGCCTTTATAAAACTACCATGGAAATTGTTGAAGGAAGTGGTATCTGGATAAATACTTGTGTATAACTTTCATTTTTCTTGATAATTTGAAAAGCAACTCTGACCAAAAAATTGTACTTGCTTCTGCAGATTTAGGTAGGTTTGGATAGAAGAAACCAGGGCTCTGAAGGCATTAATGTTGAACTGCCAGGAAAGGCAGTTTTTCAAGGCAGTAGAGCAATTTCTCTTAGAAAAACCAGCCTTTTGTCCCTTGAATTCATGCATGGTGCTATTTGAGTCTGAACAAAACTCAAAGTAATTTTCAGAGCAAGTAATGAAAACGTTAATGCGTGCTCCCAGTCTGACTGGCTGGGGAGCGGCGCTGGGTAAAAGGGGCTGCTGGTGAGTTTCACAGTCAGATACAGAACCCTGAAAACTGAATGCACATCAATTGGCTTTGTGAGCTTTTTGTTGGGGAGAGGATGCACGGAGGATAAAACACTGGTGTGTCTGCACACGTGTCCACCAGATCTAACCATCTGTTGAAAAATTTTCCCTAAAGTTTTCTGATTTATTCTCTAAATTAACCTGCGCATGTTTAGCAGATGCTAGTTTGTTCTTTCCCAGAGATGGTCTAAAAATCTGGAGTATTCTGTAGAGGTGATTTATTAAATAGAAGAAAACTTGTATTATTCTTTCCACATGAATTCCAAGTACATCTATTATTTCCTTTTTAAAAAATCTGCATGCTGAGGCTGGGGGTATAGCTCAGAGCATGTGCTTAGCGTGCCTGAGGTCCTGGGCTCAATTCCGTAGGACCGCTATTCATAAAAAATGCATGCAAAAGCAAGTAGACAGAAGAAAAATTTTAAATGGTGCATATTAAAAGAAAGGAACATTTTTGTCAAAGGTTGTAGTAAAGTTGGGTTTGCCCCTGAGTATCTTAATGAAGTAGGCAGTGCGGAGGCCTGAGTGTCAGTCATGCAATTTTCTTTCTCCTCCTCACCTAGTTCCCAGCACAGATACTCCACACCCCACGCTTTCACATTCACCACCTCCAGCCCCTCTTCTGAAGGTTCCCTCTCCCAGAGGCAGAGGTCGACGTCTACGCCTAACGTCCACATGGTCAGCACCGCCCTGCCTGTGGACAGCAGGGCGATCGAGGTAGGTGGGCTGCGCGGGCAGTGCAGGGTCCCAGCTATTTGGGTGGGGGCGACTGTTGTGTTAGAGGTTTGGGTTTCAAGCGGGATAAGGAGTGTTGCAGCATTTTCTTGGGTCCCTGGGCTTTTTGAATTTCTTTCTTATTCACTGCATCTTGAGACTGGCTTAGTAATCTGGTTGGTATACCTACCACTCAAGGGGAAAAGTAATATCTCCTGAAGAAATGTTAACATTGGAACTCACTCTTCCCATGTCGGATTTGAATAAGGCCTCAGTGAGCTCGTGAGTGAGAGACAGAGTGGTTTCATTTTGGTGTGGGAGAGAATAACAGTGGTGGAGGACTGCAGACTCTCCCGGAGTCCTGAAGGGATTTTACTTAGAAATAAAAGGGTGGAGTCATAGGATTTTAATAAGCAGATATTTAGGGAGATGTAAAAGCGCCTAAAACTAGTATTTTCAAACTGCTTTTTCTTTTCTTGGTGTTTTGGTATGTTCTGTTTGTTTGGTTTGCTTTCTAGTTCATCTTTATAACAACTGAATACACTTAAAATACTTCCTTTGTTCTTTATTCTTCTTTATTTCTCGTTGCTTTGGACCAGAGCAACAGCCTGAGCGCTTCTCCCAGGGCGTGGTCCAGACGGTTTTGTTTGAGGGGAAGAGTAGGTATTCTTCTTCATGCCTTTGCTTTCTTGTAAATTAACAGGTTTGCTAAGACTGTCAGACAGTAAGACTGTCAAAAATGAAACAATCACTAAATTTTATAGTTCTTGTCAGACTTGTTTTCATGTTTTCGGTTTTGGCAATAGCATAGAAAGGAGTGAAAAAAAATAATCTGTGGTGAGATTTTGAGGCCAAGAATATTAAAAAAAATTTTTTTTCAATTCCTACCAAAGACTAATGCTGGATTTATTTAGTTGGTGCTGAAACAGCATCACTGTTCTGTTTACATTTCCTTTAGAAACCAGTTGTATCAGTTTGGTTGCTCTGCCCTGAAAATCCTTTGATAAGCTTTTATCAGAGACAGCTGTGCTCTGTCTGCATCATGAATTGTTCCTTGAAAAGCCTCAGGGCCACCTGCCACCTCAGGCACAGCTTACCTCACTCAGACCTCAAGTCCCTTCAGCATACTTGTCCTGCCAAGCAGGAGCAGGGACTCAACCAACGAGTTGGCTTCTGAATGTGGGGCCTAAACTGGTCATTTGGGGCACTTTGAATATCACAAGATTATTTTGAGGAGGTCATGTGTATGCAAGCTATGAATTTTATTTGTTCTGTTGTGATTAGCCCTGATTATGATACAGTAATATACCAGTTACTTTTCTTTTAATATATGATCCATTCCTCTAAACATTCCAGTGTTCTAGAGGGAGCATTGAAAGTGAAATTGAATTTTTTGAAATTGAATTTTTCTTGAATTTTTATTATGAAAGCACCTCTGTGTGCTTAATCCTCTTTACTTTAGAAGCAGAGCGTATTTTGATTCCTCTTTTTTTTTTAAATCATGATTTAGCATTTTAAAATTACACATTCTTGCTTTGTTTAAGCCATTTTTAGTTCTCTTTAACTAATATTTAGATTTCAAGATGATGAAAAGTTCCTTCTAGGATAAACCAATCCAACTGTAGAAATGAGCACAGAATAAAACATGAGGTATATAGTGGATACAGGGAAGAAAATTACTGTGGCATTAAGAAAAAAATCCCAGTGCATGGGAATATAATTCTGGTCATTAAAAATACATTGTGCCATGCTTTGACTGAAAACAAAGAAGAGATTAGTTGGATAATAAAGCTATAGCTGCTGAAAATTCTACTGAAATTCAAATTATTTTTGGACAAAGTTTTGTCCACCTGGCTGCCATCCTGTTGTAATTAAAAACGGAGATTCCTGGGCTTCCCACCTTCCCTCCCAGACGTATCAGCCCTCGTTGGGTGGGGGGGCTTGGGGATCTGTATTCGTAAACGCCTCTCCGGGTGATTCTGAAGACCGGCCAGGTGTGGGAACCCCAGAGCTAGGCTTCACTGGTGAACGCTGAAGGCGCTCAGGTGGGGCTGCCGCGGGGTTGCGGGGCAGCGTGGTCTGTGACTCTTCCCATCTTGTAACCATGGCGTGGAGTGGGAGCATTCTGGTAACAGTTGTGTGAAAAAAAGTATCTCGTCTTCACTGTGGTTGCAGAAAGAAAACAAAGAGGGTAGAACTGAGAAAAAATACCCTTTTTGAGGATATGGGGACCAAATGGTTTTATATTGCTGTTATTCATGTCCTCCAAGTGAGGTTTTATAAAATGAAGATTTAGGTTACATGGAGGGCCCTGTGTCTTAAACTATTCGACCCAAACAGTTTCTAATAAATTCTAAAAGTAGCCTTTGACCTCTCACCTCAGTAGAATGTAACTAATTTCAGAGCTTACCCATAAGGTCTGAAGAGCAGGTCTGAGATCCGTGGGTGGTGGTTTCTGGCTCTGTTTCTGCCACCAGCTGGTTGTGTGACCCTGGCCATGTCTCTACCTGTTCAGATGTTTTCTTACATGTAAGTTGCAGGTCTGGGACTGGGGGATTTATGGTCCTTCCAGCTTCCCATGATTTTAGGCTCACATAAAGTATATAGTCTTGGTGCTTGCCCTTATCACATCCAACTCCTAGAGGAATAAGAGTGAACTTGCCACCGAATCCCTCATTAAAAATAGTTCAAATTTTTAGTTACCATTTTTTGAGCTTCAGTGGAGCAAGATCCCCAACCACTGAAAAGATCTCAGCTGATAGTAACTTTGCTAGCCTTCCTTAAAGATGATCGGTTTGCTGTGTGCATTGCCGCCTTCTGAGAGAAAGGATGATGTTCCCGTTGTATGTGAGGGATTCACATAAGTCCTCCTAATGCTGGACAACGGCAGCTCTGGAGGTAGTGGCCACAGATACTGATGAATTTAATCAAAGAAAAGTTAGGGTATGTAATTAGACCTTTTGTGTTTTGGAGGTTTTATAATCTACGTTGCTCCTGCAAATCCTCCTCCCCTTGCCCTCCCCGGCGAACACCTTTTCTGGTGCAGACACTGACCGGCTTTCCTTTTCTGTTTCAGGATGCAATTCGAAGCCACAGTGAATCAGGTACTTGTCCAGGTCATTCAGCAGTAGTGGTGGGCTTTTTGTCTTTATGCCGTGTATCTTCTTTTGGCTTATCCACGTGTGGATTCTGTTTGTCTTGTCTGTTAAGCCTCACCTTCAGCCTTGTCCAGCAGCCCCAACAATCTGAGCCCAACAGGCTGGTCACAGCCCAAAACCCCTGTGCCAGCGCAGAGAGAGCGGGCACCAGGATCCGGGACCCAGGAGAAAAACAAAATTGTGAGTATTGCCAACAGTACCTCCTGCAGGTTAGGGGTCGGTAAGAAATGAATGCCGTCAGAAATGAGAATGTTTTTAACTGTAGGGGTGGAGGAACTCTAATTAAGTGAATATATTATAAATATCAGTCCTATTTTTGGCATGCTTGTATTGGAAAACTGGTTTATTGCAAGACAGGGCACAACTAAAACGGTATTTTCTCAAAAGAGAAGAACTGGAATTACAGTTAATATGTCTGTCTGTAAAACATACAGGGATGGATGGAGTTGGGTTGAGGTTTTCTTTGACAGGGTTGTTAAACAGACCTGTGCCCTTCCGTGGAGTATACTGATGTTCTCTGCTTGCTTCAGAGGCCTCGTGGACAGAGAGATTCAAGCTATTACTGGGAAATAGAAGCCAGTGAAGTGATGCTCTCCACTCGGATTGGGTCAGGCTCATTTGGAACTGTTTATAAGGGCAAGTGGCATGGTAAGTTTGGGGCCTTCGTTACTCCCGGGTGAAGTCAGGGGTTAGTCCAGAGAGGGCCGGGCAGGGGCCAGGACTCACTGTGCCCCCGGGTCACAGCAGCTCTTTCCCGGGGTGCTTGGTTGCATCTGAAGATTGAACTTAACAGTATCTGGATGAAGTTTCGTACTGTTCTTTTTTAAGACTCAACAATGCTATAATTGGTAGGAAAGTTTTCAGGATAATTAGAATTTGGTGAACAGGAGTTGAGCAGTAGAGTCAAGTGTCAGAGTCTCTTCTTATAAATGGATTAAATACACTGTGCACGTGGGAGGGACATGCTTGGACGCTCCTAAATGAGTAAGAGTCTGCTGCTGTTAGGGGAGCATGGGTTCTGGAAACTTAAAGCTGGAAAGCACCTTGGAGACTTTACTTGCAAGAAAACGAAGGTCCCAAGAGGGGGAACTGCCATGCCCGCGGTCAGACAGCTGGGCATGGGAAAGCCAGGAGCCTCCTGAAACAGGGTCTCTTTGCTCTGCCCTGGGACTTGTCGTGGGAATTCCTGTCAGGGGATGCACAGACTTAATTCTTGAATCCCTGTAGAGCATTAATGTTTATTTTAATGTAAACACTTTGTCACTTGGAAGAAACTTATTATTTTAATGTATGTAGCCACAGTTTTTGTGTATTTTGACAACATACTTAACATATCTGTCAGGTTTTTAATGCCTCTGGCTTTAGGATGTCAGGAAATATAGAGTATTTTTTTTTGAGAATGCTACATGTTTCCCGAAAGACAGGTCTTCTAAATTCAGATTTTAATACCACCCCCCGAATCCTAATGAGCCTTGGTGCCTGTATGTCTATTTTGGATGCCACCATGTATATCTTTATACATAACTGGGCACAAAGATTGAGAGAAGATAAGAGCATAAAATAAATGGAATATTAAAATTCAGGGTGTTGAAAGCTGAGAAGCACCTCCTTTATTCTGTGTAGCTTATGCTCATTAATATATGGGTTTTCCACTTGTAACTAATCATCTGACAAATTTCTAGTTCTTTGAGGGGACTGGCAAAGGACTGAACATTGATAAATGACATGTAGGATCACTCCTTTTCCTTTGGAAAATTGCGTCTAATATACTACTGGCCTGCCTCCTAGGTCACTGAGAAATTACACTGTTGAAAATATGTTGCAAATATATATCATAAATGTCTCAGTGATCCCTTAGAAAAGAAAAACACAGTTTGTGAGCTAGAGTGCCTGTGCCTGAGAATGCGGGGCTGCAAGTAGTACAGGCGGTGGAGCAGTCAGAACTGCTTTTAATGCTTCCATTAGGAGCAGTTTACCATTTGCATGCATTTTAGCCTCAGCTAAAAGCCAACAGATGCAGTTGAAGTTGTGCCCAAATTGAAGCTTCCTTTCGCTGAGCACCTTTATGGCCAGGGGGAGGGGTTCATAATTTTTCAAAGCACTGGTTACATTTGCCACAGTCCTGCTTATGAGCTGTGTTCTCTCTGTCATGAGTTTTCAGACTGTGCTGAGGAGATGTGTTTGCTACAGTCTGCTTGGAATGCAGACAGCATCTAATGCTTCTAAGATTCTAGTTTTTCTAAGTCTCAAATCAGAGGAGCGAGGAGCAGTGGGCTTTTATGTCCGCCTCTCCGAAAGCAAGCTACGCTCTGTGAATGAAGAAGAAAGAGAGTTGTGGAAACCATGATTTCTAGATTGCTTCATGCTATACTTTCTTCCCCCTTTTCCCCATTGCTTTTCTGATTCTTGTATACAATATTTTATTCCATTTCTTAAAAATTACAGCTGTTACGGTGATTTTTTTTCCCTCAGACATGTATGTGGCCATTAATAGGTGGGCTGCTGCTGTTTGTGTAGATGAGGATCTGTTAACATATTGCAGAACAGACCAGGAAAGAGGTACTGCAGGCTGCTGGGCACACGGCCTCACTGCACGCCTGTCGCTCAGTGCGGGCTCGGCGGGAAGCCCCCTTCAGGGTGGCTCCAGTGAGGGCGTGGTGGGCACAGGTTTTGGTGATTTTTTAAATGTTTGATTCTGCCTAGTAGCTGTGAAAGTAAATAGAAAAGTTCTCAAAGCAGCCAAGATGGACAGCTCAGATCCATGAACTAAGCTTATGTTATGTACAGAAGAGACCCATGGTCCCACCTGCAGACTTCCTTTTGGGCATGAATTTGGGGGGTCTTACTTACCAGCCTCTGCTAATTGTAAGCCACACTCAGGGAAGCAGACAGCATTCGAGGCTGTCAGGCGGAGAGCAGCAGGCAGAGGCGGCAGAAGACCCCTCAGGAGCAGGGCCCCCACTGGACAGCACGCTCGGGCCGCAGCGAGGCCAGAAGCCTGACGCATGCTGGCCAGGGTCCCCGTCGCGGCCTCAGGCTGAGCTGTGTCATTTTGACTGAGTCAGTAAGAAGAGGACTGGTGGCCATTCTCTTTTGGTCTAAAAAGCAGTGGCGTGTGTGGTAGGTTTTGGACTAACCCAAATGGTTGAAACAGGGAAGTGAATTCGTATTTAAAAAGGTAAAAACGTTCCAAATTCACCAAGTGATGATAGCTCTTTCTTCAGTGGTTGATGAGTATTATCAGCCTGTCTTACTGAAAATATGATAACCAACAGGAATGTGTCTTGTTTGTGCTGCATTTGCCTCTGACAGTACTGTTACGGGACAGTAAGACATTCTGGTTTTATGGATAATAACTACTTCATGTAGTTGTTAAGCAGCGTTACTGAATGCCTGTTGCACCGGAGAGGTGGACTTGGCCATGACGCACTTGGTCCCAAGGTTGGCCGAGGGAAGGCTGGAGAGCAGCCTTTGTATTAGGCCCAGACCTAACTCTGCAGACCTAGGGGCAAGGTCTGGGGGCCTCAGGCTGGCACTTAAGTCTTGGCTTTCCTGCCAGAAGCTGATTGTTGGCCTGTGCTGCAGGCAGCCAAGCCCCCGGTATTCCCTGCCAGGCGCTGTGCCTCACACAGGCGGCTTTTTAGCCTTGCTGACACTGTTGCATCTTAGAATTCATTTCTTCAGCCAGTGTTCCCTGAGCATTCTTCTAATACCAAGCATTCTAGGGGCTAGGGATGAAACCGTGAACAAAACAGATAAAAATTCTTTCTCTTAATGGAGTTGATATTCTGGTTGGGATAATAACCAAGAAAAGCACAGTGTTTGGTGTGTTGTAAGCGCTAAGGGGAAAAATGGAGGAAAGCAGGTACAGAGCGGCAGGCCTGGTTCGCAGGTTTTTTTAGTGGGTTTGGGGAGGAGTCTGCTGAGAAAGTGGCATTTGGGAAGGAGCGGGAGCAGAGCAGGCCACTCACCTGGCCTCTCTGAGGAACTCGGGAGGTCTGAGTGGCTTCAGTAGGGTGAGCAAGGGAGAGGCTGATAGGAGTGAGGTCCGGGGGTGGGGGTCATTGGGTCCCATAAGGACTTTGGATGTCACTAGGGTGAAATGGGGTCTCAGATTTTGCAAGGCCGTCATGAGATTTGGCCTGAAAACCAGAGTGATGGGGAGCTTGTTACCTGAAAACTCTAGCGCTGGGCATTAGGAAAGTGTTCTCTGTGTGAGTTGAAACCAGGTTTTCCTATAATGTTGCCCAGTGTTCTTAGCAGACTGAATCCCGATCATGGCAGTCCTGGAGGGCGTACATACAAATGAGGGAATGCTGTCGTGCAGAGTCCAGTCTCTGGGGTTCGGTAAGAAAGTGCGTATCATGTTACCGTCTGTTAGTCGTGAGCTGAATGGCATGTGGGTCCCTGTGGCCCACAGGGCTCTGTTTCGCTTTGCCCCTGCTCGGTCTTCCCATCAGTGACGTGCATGACTCATGGCCTACACAGCGGTGCAGTGCAGACTGGGTACTGGATTTAGAAAGGCGAGAGGATTTGAAGTGGCTCTGAGGATGGAACAAAGATGAACTTTTAACAGGGATAAGTCTTGTTCACTGTTCCAAAAAGTAGAGGCTAGAGGTGCAGGATGTTTGACTGACTACAGGTCAGAGCTGTGAACAGGCTTTGGCAGCTCTGAGGCTGCATTACTGATCAGGTTCAGAATGGGTGGCACTGAGGGTGAGTTCGGTGGTGACTGGCGCAAGCCCAGAGAAGAGCTGTGGGAAAGGGAAGGGACTGCAAAGCAGGCTCATGAACTCGGAAGGAGCCCCTCTGGAGGGCCCACCTAGCATCTCCCCAGGCCTTCCTCCTGCATCCCTTTAAAGCCCCACACACTGCCTGGCCACCCCCTGGTCCCATCTCTCAGTTGACTGCCACATTGTGTCAGTTCACCTTCATAGGGTTCCTTGCCTCCATCCCCCTCTTCCTGTCACCACTGTGCCTGCACTGCACCTGGGCTCTTGCAGCAGACTCCTCCCTGGCCTCCCTCCTGTCCTACGGATGTCAGATCACATGCTGCATTTTCCCCAGCACACCTCGCATTTTACTCATCCCCCTTACCTCACCTTTGTTCCTGGTGGATCTAGTCTGGAACAGCCTCTTCCCTTGCCTTATGTCCCATTTCCTTCAGGAAACTTTTCTACATCCCCTGTGCAGATATCCTTGCTCCCCTCCTCTTTCACCCCCTGCTCCTCGCCATCTTGGCTCACACTGCAAGACTTCTCCTGTCCCTCTGCTCAGTCATAAGGGACTTGAGGTTGGGGTGTGGCTTATCAGCTCCCTCTTCCTGGGCAGAAGGCAGCTCTGCCATCCAGAGTCAGCAGCACCTTCACAGGCAGCCCTGGGTCCTGAGTAAATTTATGTGCCAGTGAACTGGAGAACCAGTTTGGAAGTTGCTGTTAAGTGGAGATTTTAGCTTTAGATGATAAAAACAGATCACAGGGCAAGAATTTGGGACCTCTCATAAGAACCATCTCTACCCGTTGGTGCTCCCCAAAAGTGAAACGAACGCTCCAACAGAGGCTGTGAGGGTGAGCTGCCAAGGGGGTGTGCTTGGTTTAGGGAGGAACCAAGTCACCTCCAAGGTGCCACTGAACTTAACTCCTACTTTGTTTGATCTTTAGAAGGCTGTGTTTTAATAAATTCATTTGTCATGAAAATCTGACGTCCTAATAGGACTTGAAGTAATTTATTGTAATTACCATTATAATAAGTATGACACAGTGCTTCTGAAAGTGGCTTCTCAGTCAGTAGCCCCTATAAAGTAGAACTGATCTCTGGATGTTCCTAAAGTTATGTGAAAAGGCTGGCTTTCTCCTCAGTGATCAGCAGTTATTTGAGTTAGAAGTACGGCTACTAGAGTCAGACCGGAGTTCTCATTCTGGCTCCAGCACCTTGGTTTTTTTGCCAGGTGATGCTAGGCAAGGACTGAACTTCCGTGTGCTGCCTGTGAAACGAGGGTAACAGCGCTGCCGTCCTAGGGCAGCTCTGAGGGTTAAAGGAGGTGATGCCCGGGAAAGCATATTCAGCGCAGGGTGTAGTAGGCAGTCAGCATCAATCATCAGGGTTACTTCTACTGGTACTGAAGGCAGAGCAGCTTAATTTCAGTCCGTATCTTTGAGTCTGTACAAGGGAGCGTCTCAGGTCCATTGAAATGTAGCTGCTGTGTTTAGCATCAACTGCTCACTTACTGGCCTGCTCTGGGCACCCAGCCTTCTGGCCCTGAAGATTCAGTGTCTGCCGGGCCATTCTAATGTGCTAGCTGACGTCATCCCCACTGGCCCAGGTCGTGACCCATCACCCACAACCTCACCACTGGGGATTCTAGGCTTGATAAAGCAAGCCTTTTCAAGGCCCATGGGCAGTATTTTAAGGATAGTAGCATAACCTATTTAACTTTTCCAGCCACCTGAATAATTTAGAAATTTTCAGTGTTTGTTCCATCTGTATAGGTATATGATTTTTGAGTGGTTCACCATATATTCCTAAAAACTAGTGTATATGAAAAATGAGAGATCATTCAGCTGTGCTGACTATAGACTAACTTGCAGGAGATGTTGCAGTAAAGATCCTCAAGGTTGTGGACCCCACCCCAGAGCAGTTCCAGGCCTTCAGGAATGAGGTGGCTGTCCTTCGGTGAGTAGACAGTGTGGCGTGGGAGGGTGGGCACGGGTGGTGGCATAAGAACCACAGAGGGAGCAGGCTGCGTGGCCTGACCTGTGTCTGAGGGCCTGTGGCAGGGCTGGCGGTGAGTGTGCGTTCACTGTGTAGTCCTGTGGCGGAAACAACTCCCTTAAAAATGAAGGAAGTCGATTTCTTTCCAGCTTAAGTGGCGCCATGTGTTTAGAAGAGCCCCCGTTGTGGGGGAGGCTGTAGCTCAAGTGGAAGAGCGCCTGCTCAGCACGCACCAGGTCCTGGGTTCCATGCCCAGTACCCCCTCTAAAAATCAGTCAAATTACCCACCTCTCTCCAAAAAAATAGATGAGCCCCCACTGATGAGCACACTGTCTCAGGTCTCTGGACGCACTCCCCTCAGGTAGCCCAGGTTCTTTCTCTGGGTTTTGGTTTGTCACAGGGAGAAATAGGTTCTGTTTTCACATGTATTTCCAAGAACTCTTTATAGCCAAGTTGCCTTATTTTGGACTTCAAAACTAAGTCACCATTTAAATGTGTAGGAGTAAATTGAATAATGATGGATTCCACAGACGAGGGATCCTCGTGACCCCTGTGGGGAGACGGGTGAGTGTACACAGATGAAAGAGAACGTCCTCTCTGCGACCAGGGCCGGCACTGGGGGAGTAACAGTGGGCCCTTTGCCCGCTCGGAACATCAGCTGGGTCGTCAGCAGTCCCCTGGGCCTGGGTCGGCGGCACGCGAGGTGTCCGCACACGGAGGACCTGGGTGCCGGGCTGAGAGCGGAGTAGATCTCCCCATTCTGCAGCAGCAGGTTCAGAGCCTTTTCTCGTGTCCTCTCTCCAGCAAAACGCGGCATGTGAACATCCTGCTCTTCATGGGCTACATGACGAAGGACAACCTGGCCATTGTGACCCAGTGGTGCGAGGGCAGCAGCCTCTACAAACACCTGCATGTGCAGGAGACCAAGTTCCAGATGTTCCAGTTGATTGACATCGCCCGGCAGACGGCTCAGGGAATGGAGTGAGTGGACGGCCTGACAAATAGAAAGTCTGGGGTCCAAGCATCAACCTGTCCCTAAGTTCGAACTAAGATTAGGAAAAGCCAATTCTCTCAAGCGGTTTCTGTGCTGTTTTTGCACACTGGATATGAGCCTGGGGGTGGGCTGAAGGAGTGAGAAATGTGAGTTTGTTCCCAAGCTGAGGCACCTCCCTGGGGGCTCAGATTCAGGTCCCAGCTGCCGTCCTCCAAGTTCAGCTGGACACCCAAGAACATGGTGGAGGCCATCGGGTGTGCTTGCTCCACGTGAGAGTTACAGCCACCGCCACGGTCTAATTTTAGGACATCTTCAAGGTACTAGATGAAGTCTTCTGAGTCTAGCAGCTTATTTCACCTGGCATGTTTTTGAGAGGTTTATCCACGTTGTAGCGTGAATCAGGACTCCCTTTCTGTGGCTGAATAATATTCCACTGTGTAGATATACTGCGTTTTATTTGTTCATCAGTTGATGAACATTTGGGTTGTCGGAATTACTTTTGGAGTAAAATCAATGCTTAAGAAGACTTGCCCTGTTTGTGCTGTAGCTTCATCTTCAGGTGAGGCATGTGTGGACCACGCGAACCAGTACAGGGCCCGTATCCAAAGTAACCCTCCCTGGGAGTCAGGCCTTCAGGTGGTTTTCTTCTTAGATGTGTTTTGAAGCTGCTTTATACCAGTGTCCCTCAAACTGGTTTTAATAGATTTATTTCCCTTCACAGCTATTTGCATGCAAAGAACATCATCCACAGAGACATGAAATCCAACAGTATCCTTTGCTGGTGGTTTTACCTGACTGCTCAGTGCTAAACTTAGGAGACTTTTTAGCAAAAGTGACTTTGGAAAGAGCTCCACAAAGGCTGCGCTGTGTGTTCGGGTGATGCTTGAAACAGGCCTAGTTTTTCTTCCGATGGTTTTTATTACTAAATATAACTTGAGGGAGTGGGGCTTTTACCTTTTATGTCTGTGTCTAGTTTGTGGATTGTATATCTGGTCAGAAAGTAGCTGAAAGCCAGTGTTGCAAGATATTTCAAAATATTACTACTTAAAATTGTCTTTCTTGAATGTACAGAAATGGTTTCCTAACAGTTTCACACCCGCCAGCCTTTCTGAAAGGAGAGTGGCGCACAGCAGGCTGCTGCTTGGCCACGAGAGGCACGGCAGCTGTGCCGAGCTGTGTGAAGGGACGTGGCCTAGTTTGGGCACGTGTCTAAGATGTGCACTAGGTGGGTGGGGCTTTGGGGACCAATACTGGCGCCATGAAAGCAGATTTTAAGGAGGCAGGAATTACACACAAGTTTGCCTTGAAGTGCCTGACTTTAAGTTTGTTTCTGATTTCGAAGTCACCAGGTGGTACCCATTCCTGTGAGAAACGTCTTAGGACAGACAACATGCAGGATTCAGGGTGATTCTGTTAGTCGTCTGAGGGCAGGATGCAGGCAGGCATGAATGTGAGCTGTCAGCAGACTGCTCAGTCTTGGGGTTTAACGCACCTACATTATGCAGGAAGGTCGCAAGGCCAGAGAACCCGTCTCTGGGTGTGTAAACGGATGAAGCAGCAGCAGGCAGAAAACTGGCTTGTTTGTGGCTGCAGCCAAATCATCTGGTGCCCCGAGCACGCCTCCTGGCAGAAGGAGCAACTTAAAAACACGTTTTAAAACTTCAGAAACTTTAGCAAATCCAGTGCCGAGAAGGCTGGGCAGGTGGGAGGCAGAGATGCAGTACAAATGAGAACTTTGGGAAGGTTTTCAAAAGTGACTTGACCATTCTTTTAAAACTAGAGTTCTTAACAAGCATTGAGATATATTTCTCCATGAAGGCTTGACGGTGAAAATTGGAGATTTCGGTTTGGCAACAGTCAAGTCGCGCTGGAGTGGTTCTCAGCAGGTTGAACAACCCACCGGCTCCATCCTGTGGATGGTGAGGCGGCCAGGCCCCCACTAGCAGGGTACAGGGCAGAAGGGGTTCCTGGAGGTCTGTCTGCAACTTTCAATTATTTCTCTACATTTCCCCAAAGTCCAGACCACCTCAGTGACACCTTCAGTGTCGTCAGCCTGGGGCAGAGTTGGGTTTCCCGGAGGAAGCTGGCGGTGAGGACCACCCTGAGGCGTAGCTGGGAGGACTTACCTGATAGGAAGTGCTGGATCCCAGAGGCTAGAATTCCTGAGCTCATTTGAGCCTGAGCCTGAGCGTGGGGCCCTCTGGGGAAGAGTGGCAGCGGGACTCAGGAAGGGCCAGCCTGGCTCCCGCATGTCAGTGGGGCCCAGAGGGTGACAGTTGCACTCTGTCCCCGTAGGCCCCAGAGGTGATCCGAATGCAGGATAATAACCCGTTCAGCTTCCAGTCCGACGTCTACTCCTACGGCATCGTGCTGTATGAGCTCATGACCGGCGAGCTCCCTTACTCCCACATCAACAACCGCGACCAGGTGCGTGCGCTGCGCGGGCCAGCTCACCGTAGGAGCCCGCGCCTCTGCCCGCCCACCCCTCCCCTCACTGCTCTCCTTCCCCGCAGATCATCTTCATGGTGGGCCGAGGGTACGCCTCCCCCGACCTCAGCAAGCTGTACAAGAACTGCCCCAAAGCGATGAAGAGGCTGGTGGCCGACTGTGTGAAGAAAGTCAAGGAGGAGAGGCCTCTGTTTCCCCAGGTGAGACCTAGCGCAGGGTGCCGGCGCTGGCGAAGGCAGGAGTGCTTCGTGGCAGAAATGGGAGGAAAGCTGCTTTTCCTTTTCTCGGGGGCGGGGGGGGGGGAACGTGTGTTCTGCACAAGATGCTGGAGCTCGGGCGGGCAGGAGAGCCCGTGTCTCTGGGCCCCCCTGGAAGCTGCTGCGGTGGAGACTCGCAGCCCCCTGAGACCACCACCTTGTGGCCTGTTGCAGATCCTGTCTTCCATCGAGCTGCTCCAGCACTCTCTGCCGAAAATCAACCGGAGTGCTTCTGAGCCATCCCTGCACCGGGCGGCCCACACCGAGGACATCAACGCCTGCACGCTGACCACGTCCCCTAGGCTGCCCGTCTTCTAGCCGCGTCCGCACCCGTGCTCAGGCGCCAGGCGGGAGGGAGGCCTGCAGGCCCCACCTCTCTGCTCCTCCCTTTCCGTGGGATAGAGCTTGTCTTCCGAGAAGCTGCTGCTAAGGACCATCTGACCACTCACAGGGCCTTAACTTCACGTTGCCTTTTCTACCCCTCCCGGCCCTGGGAGAAGCCATTCGCAATGCTGGTTTGTCCTGCTCCCACCCCGCCCCCGCTCCGTGTCCCCCGTGCTCACGAGCTGAGCCCGCCCAGATGCACCAGTGGCGGCTGATGGCAGTACAGGACCTGGGGCCCCAGCTGTCGGCTAAATGAGTTCTTTTAGGGCAAGAAGCAGCACTCAGAGGGGAGATGAAGGCAGCAGGCAGACCAGCCCTGACGTGAGGACACGTGGACTTTGGAACTCGGCTCCTAGGAGGAATGCTTATCACAGAAGGACTTCTCTTCAGAGACACGTGGTGTGGCGCCAGACAGGTAGTTTTGCACATAATGCACCAAACAGCCCAGGACTGTCGGGAGCGCGGCCGCCTGACCAGCCTGCTTTGGTACTACGGACTTGACTGTGGGGACACGTCCCTTGAAGGTCTCCGGTGCTCTGGGGTGGTTTCCACAAGAGGCGCTCGGCCTGCCCCCCTCCCCCCCGCCCTCTCAGGGAGCAGTCGTCCATCTTGCTGAGTTAGTCTTCCAGGAGCTGCCCCTATGGGGCGGGGCCGCCGGGCCAGCCTTGCCTCCACATCACATCATGTGTATGCAAGGAAGCCAGGGACACAGGTTTTCTTCATGATTTGGGTTTTAATTTGTTTTTATTGCGCCTGACAAAATACAGTTATCCAATGGTTCCTCAATTATGTTATTTTAATAAAATAAATTAAATGTAGGTTTAATGGCTGTTTCCTCCTTTTAAAGTTAACCCTGAGCTCACAGGTTGAACTCCAATTGTTCATCCCATCTGGAGCAGAACTCAAGAGCCCAGGATCTCTGCTTGGAATGATTTTATTTCTGCCTTTGTCACCGTTCACTAAAGAGTTAACTATGAAAATTAATTATGAAAATTAATTATGCAAAAAGCACTTGAAACTCAGGTAAGAGTAGACCTTTCTAACCACACTTTACAGTAATGCATTTTATAAAATATTTGGTATCTGCAGCCGTTTATAAAAATAGGTAATTCAGGCTTGGAGTGAGTTCTGATTGACAAGGTGATGCTCCTTCAATTAAAACCACAACTGATGACAGAGTTCTCTGCAGGACCATCGTTGGGGCAGAATCAGAAACTTTTCTTGGGTGCTGTTAAATTTTTATAAAATTCCAAATCAAAGCCCGGTTTTACGGATGAGAATACGTGTCACTTGTGTGCAGTGAGCCCTCAATATGATGACCCCTGGGCACAAGCCAGCAGGTGAGGGCCAGGGACACATTTCCCTGAAGGCACATGTGCAAGGTTCCTCCGGTCAGGACCCCAACACCAACCACAGACAAGGGACTGGACCTCTGCCCTGGCCCCCTTACGAGGAAGAGGGTCTGTGCTTCAGCTTGTTTACTGGGTGTCCAGCAACGTGACCGCTGCTCTGACTGGGGACACTGAAGGCAACAAGTGCCCTAAATAAAGTTGTTTAGTGCTAAGGTGTGCAGCGCCCACTTTGTTTTTTGAAAAGCAATGTACAGGTCACGTTTTTTGACCACACTATCAGTACACTAGGGAATCCTTACACCATACAGAATCCTTTCAAGGGCTGAAGAATCCTTTGGTAAGAAAAATGAGCCTGCTGCCGTAGGGCCAGCTGCACGCTGGCTGTTACAGGAGCGAGAGCTCACGGAGGGCAGAAGCCCAGTTAGTTTCAAGCAATCAACTCTGGCCGGTTAGCAGGGCCCCTGAGGAGCTCGAGGTGCAACTAAGACAGCAACTATGAAAGTAGCGATTCCACATACTTGTTAGGTTACTTTATATCCTTCACGCTTCCCGTAGATGAGACCAAGGTGAAGTACAACCTCACTCAAATCCAAGTGACACACACCTCGGGCTGCCGTGAAGGAGGTGCTGCACACCCTGGCCCGGAGAAGGCTCAGCCGGCAGAGCCAAGATGCAAGGCGACTGTCCGGTCTTCAGGATTCTGACGACTCCACCCCGGACAGGTGCATGAAGAGGTCCCCCAGCTCCGTCACGTCGACGTCTTCAGTGCTGGGGGCGTGCCGGCTCTCTCGGCTCTCGATGAAGTCCCAGAGTCGCACTGAGTTGAAGAACTGCAAGAAGAGCCAGCAGACACATCTGGTTACCGCTGCAGGAGGGGTCCAGAGCGGCCCCACAGGGAGCTGTTCCCGACCAGTCACAGCAGAGCCCTCACCCTCACGGTGCCTTCAGAGCTGAGCTGTTTCCGAGGTTTCTCCGGCTCTGCTAGCCGCCCGTCAGGATACGCGTGGCGGTAGAGGCATTTGCTTCCAAAAGGGCAGGTCCCTTTGCCTTGCTCAAAGTATTTACAAGCTTTTTTTCTGAAAAGCAGAAAGAAAAAAAAGAGGATGGCAGAAAAATCAGCCTCACGTTACAGGTGGGGAAACGGGCTGAGAGGTCGGGGTGCTGATTTCCAGGCTGGATAAAAACCACACGACTTTCACGTGCATGGGGACCCCACTGCGTTGGAGCCTGTGTGCTCTCCAAAGGCCTTCAGGGGAAGGTAGGTCTGACCGACCCTCTGGGCCAGCTGTCTGGGCTCCAAGGTTCTGAAGCTGGGCTACTTGCTTCAGCTCAGTCCATAAAGGAGCTCCACCCAGGAAAAGTTTTCCCTTCCTCCTGGCCAGCAATGATGTCAAGGCGACCACAGGAAGCCCTGACAGGGAGTCACAGGGAAAGCTGCGCATCTTAGCAGCTGCCTAAAGTTACAAGTCTCAGTCTAATTTTCCTTGGTCCCCACCCTCCAAAGCAGAGCTTCCTAACTGTGCTACAGATCCTCTGTCTGAATAGTGTTTTAAATGCATAAAATAAGACACACAGGTCTACAAAATAGTTACTAAGAAGTTAAAAAAAAACTTTCCCTCTTACCTTGAAACTCCAGCTCCAGAGCCCTGTGCTAAGAACCCCTGCCCCTGAGGAAACTCGGAGCCAGAGACTTCCCCTTCCTTCTTGCCGGAAGGAAACCTGGGCGATGCAGTTAAAAAGGGTCCCAAGCCGAAGACGGGGAGATGCCCACGCAGCAGCCCTTCCTCTGTCGGAGGCGGGAAGGGGCAGAAAGGGCCACTGCGGCTGGAGCTGCTGGGGTCCTGATGGCGGCAGACAAGGAAGCAGCCTCCTTGATAACGTTTTTTTCCCAGACAAGGGAACGGCAAAGACGGGGATGGAAGTGTGAGGCAGGCCTCGGGGCAGCACCGAGGGCTCCCTAACAGCTGTCGGTGGTGGGAAGGAGCCGCCCCGCTGGGCGGGGGGTCCGCTCTCCCAGCTCGGCTGGGAGGTCTAAGGACCCGACACCTGCCACGGCCGCTGCCCCCGATGTTCGGGCAGAGCTTCACTGACCGCTTGAACGGTGAGTTCTTACCAGAGTCTGCGGGACACCAGCTGTGACAAACTCATCTGGTTCAAAAATTATTCTCTAGTGCCCACTCCCCAAGTAATTCTCCTCTCAGCCTTACCTGGTCACAAAGGACAAAAGCCTCCGTTCACTCTGACTCCCTCTTTGCTCTCAGCTCTCACATCCGGTGGTGACTTCTGCTTACAGAGCACCTCCCTGTCCCTTCAGTTCCTACCTGGCTGAAGCCCTGGGGCACCGTTCTCCGTTCCTGCCTCCCTCCCACC